TCCCTCGCCACCTCTTCCTATCCGTTGCTCTTTTTATCGTCTCCGTCTCTTGTCCGTTTCTTTCTCCCTCTTCGTCTCCTCGCTCTACCTCGTACGTACCCTCTCCCATGACGTTGACTCTCCTTCTTTCGCGTATTTCGTCTTTCGTCTCGTGCCTCCTCGATCTCCTTGCGCCGGAGGAATCTGTCTCCCTTTACTTCTCGCCGCGCTCCTGCGACGCGACTTTATTTACTCGAACCTTTGCTTCTTTCCAAGCTTTTGCCCTTTTGCTACGGCGCCACACCGATCCCGTCCTGTCCCATTCTTGTCATCCGTTCTTTTGCAACATCGTGTTTCCTAATTTATGTTTATTCCAGCGCGTCACTTCGGCCCATTGCGAAATTCCTACCCTTTCTCTCAATCTCTCGGGCTTTGTTCTCTCCTCGTTTCATCCTTTGCTTCATTCGTCCGGTACTCACCGCCTTTATTCGTGTCACATGTTCTCTCTCTCTCTCTCTCTCTCTCTCTCTCTCTCTCTCTCTCTCTCTCTCTCTCTCTCTCTCTCTCTCTCTCTCTCTCTCTCTCTCTCTCTCTCTCTCTCTCTCTCTCTCTCTCTCTCTCTCTCTCTCTCTCTCTCTCTCTCTCTCTCTCTCTCTCTCTCTCTCTCTCTCTCTCTCTCTCTCTCTCTCTCTCTCTCTCTCTCTCTCTCTCTCTCTCTCTCTCTCTCTCTCTCTCTCTCTCTCTCTCTCTCTCTCTCTCTCTCTCTCTCTCTCTCTCTCTCTCTCTCTCTCTCTCTCTCTCTCTCTCTCTCTCTCTCTCTCTCTCTCTCTCTCTCTCTCTCTCTCTCTCTCTCTCTCTCTCTCTCTCTCTCTCTCTCTCTCTCTCTCTCTCTCTCTCTCTCTCTCTCTCTCTCTCTCCCTCCTCTTTCCGTTTTTTTCTACCTGCCTACCTCCGGACCATTCTCCGCTCGACCGTTTCTCCTTCGAATTTCCTTCTCTTTTGTTTTACCCGTAATTCGTGTTACTCGTTAGCCGTTGCGTGCGCACGAAATCTGTGGCGTGTCGCGAACTTTCCTCCCTTTTTCTCGCGGACATCTTTACTCGAGTCCGTTGCGAACGCGCGCGCGTCGTCCCTGTCGTTTTTCCTGTGAAGTTATAAATTAATCGAAGGGAACGATCGATCTGTCTTTTTGTCGTCGCTTTATTTTTCATATTAGCGTAAAATTACCTAAAAGAAATTTTAGTTATTCGTGATCTTTTGCCATCTTCGCGACTCAAACGAGCCTATTCTGTTTGACAACGTTAGCCCGGCTCCTACAATCTTCTATTTGCATGGCTCGTATCGCTCGTGTGCTTGTATGTTTAAACGGACGTTACTCGAACAGCTAGAATCTTCTGTTCACTCTACTTTCTACCAACTTTCATTCTATATTGCACCAATTGAAATAAACATTGTTCTTTCATTTCTAAGCTTCTCCCTATCGAAATCCTTAGTGTTGTTCGCAGTAAGAAACAAAGAGCTTCAAGCTGTGTGCGGACAGTGCGAGGCTGACCCGGTAATTGTCTCGCAGTTGCACGCGTTTACGAATCGTTTCAATACGTGTTCGAACGAAGTGAGTAAGGAACTGCGAGGCGCCTTCGACGTGGCCAAAAAAACTGAGAATCTCCTCGTGTCGAGGTAGCCTAGCGAGTCAACGTTAATAGCTTGACGATTCTAATCGTAAGAACGTTTTGCTTCCCTGTCGTGTTCAGGCGAATTTTAAGCACGCGGTTGTACTCGTTTCCGCTGGAACGCACAGCGCGCCACTCGATACGATAATTGCGTATTTCAGGAATCCCATGCTGGCTGAATATGATTACCTACAAGAAGGCTGCGACTGGATGGAAACGACGGTGGCCACGTGGGGCAATTTTCTTAGCGCCCGAGAGCCGCGTCAGAAAAATGCCTGTTGCAACAGAATTAATCGTAGCTGTGCGATTACACGATCGAAACGCTGCGTTTTAGAATAAATGCTTGTTGTAGCGAACGTCCGTTCTTGAGACGGCGCTTCTTTTTGCGGATTATCACGTAACTGTTCGAACCTTCAGTCTCGTAATCTATGAAAATTCCTTTGGGCAATTTGCCGTTTGCGCTTTACGTCGTTGCTTCTGAAATATCGAATCCATTACGGAGAATTTCTCGCATGGTGATTGCGTGGCTACACGTGTTACGCTGTTTGCGGAGCTTGCTTCGAGCCAAACAAAGATTTGTCGGTAAAGTTTCGAAGATTCTTGGAAAGTAAAAACCGCTGTTCCCGTAGTTTCATATTATATTCCCGGTGTGTTTACAGGATTGACTCTACCGATTTAGGATCAAACTGAAATTTCACTGTGAAATTTACAATTTTCAACTTATACTCTGTACCTTTTGTCGCACCATACGGCGAATTATAAGCTCTATAACATTTTGTACTTTGCTCTTTGTTCACCGCGTAATCTTTCCATCGAGGCGACGATTTATCCCGACTCCTAGGAAATTCTTTTCTCTTAGAGTGTCTCTCTCCTTCTAAATTCCATCGTTTTAATATTCTCTTCCTGGTTCTAGCATGATCATTCTTCGCAAATTTGTCACTGCAGATCTTTCCAATAGTTTAAAAGCACGAATTTTTTCACGATTTAGAAAGTTTATGAAGTCTTACACGTTCTGGTTACAAATGGAGTGTTGCGTCGCCATCGGTCGGACAATTACACTGTGGCTGTAGTAAAAGAGCAAGTAAAATCGCTGAAATCTGAAATCTGAAATCGATACGTTGTACGAAGCTATGCGAAATGAAATCGAAAGGCGTCTGTTTCAAAGCGCGTCGCATCGTTGCGTCGCGATTCCGTGTGCGACAATTACGTCCGATACAATAGTCAACATACAAGAACGTACCATCGTCATTCGCCGACGTCCTTTCACTATTTCGAAATTTGGCTAAGAAATTTAAATGGTTTGATGGTTTGCTTCTAAATATATAAGATATATCTTTTATAGATTCGAAATTAAACACGGTTGCGAGCTAAGCGTGTACGAGGAACTAAAGCAAAAAAGTCGGTGTTACAAATGCGATTATTAGTTTGGAGGATTTAATTCAAATGATGAAACGTTCTCTATCTAGTTACAAGTCGTTCGGTATCGGGGATACAAGAAGAATAGCGGAAACGACTTTTTTATGAAACTACGTTAATGGAAAAAGACCTAAAAAAAATATAAGAAGCACTGGATGAATGGATAGAAAATGTGGGAACGCAACGTTGTTTGAGATTCGATGAAAACACGTAGAGTTTCCGATGTTAAAAGGTAGAGTAGTAGATGATAGCGAGTACTCGTTAATCTATGTTGCTAAAGTTTATCAATAACACGGCTCGTTCGGTACGAGTCCGACAAAATAGCGAGTATAGCGCTATTATTGACATTTGGTGGAAATTACAAGGCAGGAAATTCCAAAATATCGAAATACGCGATACTCTGAAGCCAGGTAGCTAATGGCTTCCTAATTGCACGCGGAAGATGTACGATCCTGGAAACGACTTTCTGGATAATAAGCGGTTGGTAGCTATTCACGCGGCCCACGAACTCGTTCGCGTGGGTCGACCATCCGTGGATTTTAGAATCGATACGAC